CATTAAAACACTATGTGCATTAAAGTAATACATAAAGACAGGCGATGTGGTGACAAAGGACATGGAAAAGGCTGAGGCACTCAATGTCTTCTTTGCCATGGTCTTTACTTGTAAGACTGGCCTTCAGGAACCCCAGATCCCTGAGACCAGTGGGAAAGTCTGGAGCAAGGAAAACTTACCCTTGGTAGAGGAGAATCAGGTTAGGGAGCATTGAAACGAATTGGACGAGTCCATGGGACCTGATGGGATGCACCCAAGAGTGCTGAGGGAGCTGGCCAATGTCATTGCAAGGCCACTGTTTATAATCTTTAAAAGATCTTGGAGACTGGGGGACGTTCCTGAGGTGATTCTGTGACTGAAAGAAATCTACTGTCACCCCTATCTTCAAGAAGGGCAAGAAGGAGGCTGGTCAGCCCTACTTTGATCCCTGGGAAGGTGATAGAACAAATAATCCTGGCAATCATTTCCAAACATATGAAGGACAGGAAGGTGATTTGGAATAGGCAGCATGGATTTATGAAAAGGAAGTCATGCTTCAGCATAACATAATGTAACACCTTTCAACATAAAATGCTGCTGAAAATTCTAAATTTTTGTCTCCTCATTTCAACTTTGTTTCCTATTTCTTGATTTCCATCTTATTAGTCAGAACCCGATTTTAGTTCTATATTTAATTTGAACTCTTTCACTGAGCAGAAGTTCTCAAGCATGCTTTTCTGTCAACAGCTCACCCAAGGAAACAATATTGCCTCTGTGTTCTTTTCATTTAAAAGTTTGCTTTTGAGGTCAGTTGATAGTCTATAAGGAATTCTGAGTACTGACATTGTTTTAAAAAGGTTCTGAAACATCTCTTGTAAAGTCATCGAACCAACAACTTGTGTCCTTATGGTCTGCTAGTAACATTTTGTGTTAACTATCTTTATGCTTTCTCTCCATGCTAAGTAATTATACCAGGGAGAAGCTCCCTGATATCCCTCTACAGTCTTAGTGGGGGTGCCGCCATACTTGCAATACGGTTGCATGTGGTTACACACCTGGTGTGTTGTGACGTTTGCCATTTGGACTATCAGAATTGCTTTGTTTTTAATCCTTTTCTTTCCCTGTTGTCTTTTGCCATTATGGAATATGAAGGAATTACGTGTATTCTCTTTTTAGTATTTTGTATGCATTTCAGCTATCTGTCTGAAATGATCCTGTCTGGATATGTAACATTACACAAATACAACCTGAAAGGGAAACAAAGAAATGAGACAATGGCAAAGATAACAGCAATTACAGAGGAGTTATGACCCTGCCATTGTTGCATGGGAAGTAGCTACTTCCTTGTCTGCATCCCGACAAGAATGGCGACTTCTCAAAGTGAAGCTTAGGGTGTTAAAGGAAAACCTTAAATCATTAGGACCTGTTGCCTCCGGATCGAGTAAAAAGGTGGCATTGAGTGATTTATGAGGGACTGCTTTCACACCACTGGACAGAGAGGCAAGGAAGGAAAGGCCACTTTTTGCAGCAAACAGAATGGAACAGAAATGTTCAAACATATCGGTCAGCAGGCTTAAGGGGAATGCAGTGTAAGAGGCAGCTGCTGGTTTACATCTGTTTCTCTAGGAGATTAAAAAAAGTTGGGAAATAATTCAAAGCATTTCAGCCTGCTTAGATCTGCAAGAATAACAGTGTGAGCAGTTTTTGGTCCAGAGACTAGCTTGAGGAGTGATCGAGTTGCAGGTTTTTAATCTAAAGAAAGTCACAAAGAGGGTGCTTTGGTAGGGAAGTGGACACTGAAGGCACAAGGGTTATGGAAGAGGTAGCCTGAGGCAGTGTGATAGCTAGCATGTAAGCCCTTTGGGGTAGGGTCTGTGTTCCTATGTATGAATACTGTGGCCAGTATGTTGGGAATGCAGTGCCAGGTGTGAATTTAGTAGAATTTGCTAGGCCTTGCCGTTCCCCCATTAGCATCAACCAGTAAAATGTGCCTACTTCTGTCACAGGACATAATCATAAAACGATGTTGTACAGCCTCCCAGTTTAGGTCAGAACAGTGTCTGCTCAGATAGGGCACTACTATGAGACAAATCTTTCCTAATAATGGGGAGCTCATTTCTGCACTGTTTTTCTTTTATTGAATGCTAAGGTTATAAGTAGGTGGCTATACTTTCAATGTTATTCCATTATGCCAGTTTTTGCAATTAAAAGCTTGGATAATACTCACGGTGTAAGTCTGTTAATTTCCAGTTTTTATTAGTAAACTAATGCCTGAAAAAAAAAAAATAAGCCTTTTTCTTACTATATGCACAATATTTTCTTTTGGGTGTGGTGTGCATTGGTACTTATTTAAAATAAGTGCATTAAAAATGCACTTATTTATTAAGCTCTTCACTTTCATAAGAATTACAGCTTGTGTGTAATAAAACACCAGTTTATGATATATTTTTAGATTTTCTTAGAATATTTGACTCATTTTGCAACAAAACAGTAGTAAAGGGGAAGGGGGAGGAGCAAGATGTTTTTGTTAGAAAACATACAAGTAAAAAAAAACTGGCCAGCTATATGCTTGACTGGTTACTGAAATGCTGGAAGAAATGTTACTAAGTGTGGAATTACATCATCTTTCCTCTATACACAGAAAAAGCCCAAGGAAATATCATTTGTCATAAGACCTACGCTCCATAATCTGAAATGCCACTTTACTGCCAAGAGCAAAAGAATAAAAAAACAAACAAACAAACAAAAAGCACACAAAAAACCCAAGAACCTAAAGAAAGTAGTGGTGAATAATTCAAATTAAATCAGCTTTTTACTGAAGTAAAAAAAGGGGGAGGAGGAAAAAATCGTTCAGTTTATTTAATAATTACAGTTCAGAGAGAAAAAACAACAGTGCATAGACAGAGAATATTGTGCACATTAATGTTCCTTTTATATATTGTTTCTTATTTCTACAGAAAGTTATGATTATTTACAAAATCTGACAATGGAATCATAAAAAATTGGTTAGTGCCTGCCTTTGCCTGCAGATCTAAATCCCATTTCCTCATCCAAGACTGCAAAAAAAAGCTTAGCACAGGGGACTCCCACAACACGTAGAAAGGGAGAGGGGAGAGTAGCTTCCTCACGCTTCCAAAACCAAGTATCACATAATGATGTCCGTTGGCATCACTGCAATGGTGACAGACCTGTGGTGATGTGTGCTTACTCCTTGCTTTCTGAATGACGTGTTTTGCTGAGGGCTTGGAACAGCCACAGACTTTGTGAGCCGGAAGCTGGACCTCAGACAACTCCTTGAGGCAGAAAAAACAAAGCTCCTGCTTAGCTGAGCCAAAGCAGGATTGATGGACTTTGTGCTAAGGCTCACATTGTCCTGCTTTCCATCCTGCAAACACTGTGTATTGGACTTTCTGCAGGCACAGAGAGAGAAAGAGATTCAACTCTCTCAAGCCTGGAGTAGACTAGAGGGAAGCAGCCACAAAAGCAATGGTTGTGTTTGTCTCAAAGGAACAGGCGGGATCTTTCTTGCTGGCTTATTTTCAGCAATTATATACATTTCTGTGATGGACAAATGCAGATATTTTGTGAATCAGAGCTGATCACATAGCTTTAGAGTGAAAAAACAGATCAAGCCCTCCATGGTTTCTTCACCACCACTGAAAAAAAACCAAATAATCAAATTCTATCTAGGCAGAGGTTTAGTTAGTATTTCTACTGGGCAGTTATTGTGGATCCTTGTTTTTTTTTTTATTGTGATCCTGTTATGAACCATCTGCCGGATTTTCACGAAAATAAGGTCAAGTGTGTTCAAACTAGACAATACAAGAGTTGAAACTGGCCAGTGCTGCTCACTGGTGCTTTGTGTATTTCAGAATGATGAAATTGTGCTCACAGTGCAACTGAGTCTCTTTATTTTTTTAAAGGAAAGCAGATTGATGTATGAAGGCAAAATAAGTGAGCTTCAGTGTCAATCAGACTGAGGTTCAAACAAGAGTAGAACACACCACTCTTCTTGCCATCCATGATATCGGCACTTCACAACATGCATCTGGTAGTCCTCACAGTTGGGTATGACTCAAATCCGTAATAGTTCAGGACTTGCTAGCAGAGGGGCTGTTTTTCTCCATGCGTGGACCTCACGGTTGATTGTGATTCATAAATCCATAATAGTTCAGGACATGCCACCTGAGGGGCTGTTCTCCATGTGTTGTACTCTTCCCCTTTGCACACACTAGAGATATTTCCAACCAATACACTCTTGTTTCGTAAGGAAGGAAATTGGTTGCAGGCTGGTCAGAAGTGTGCTGCAGCCCACTCAAATTCCTAGTATTTTGGTGTCTCTTAATTAAAACTGTAAGAAATATTTAGGCTTCAGAGTTCACTTTCCAGCTCGTGGCCTGAAATGGTTAATTCCTTAAACTACAGCTCATGTTACAAAGCTGATTTGCAGGCATTTGTTGTTGCTTTGAGAGTGTGCTTTGAGCATGGAAAGACTTCGGGTTTTGTAAGAATTTTTGAGGTTTCACTGTTTTGTTGTTTCTTTTTTATGGCAGAGCAGCTAAGAGATGAGGATAAGTATCTTTTATAGTGTTCAAGCTGAAATATATAAATAATGAAATAGAGGTCTAGCGTCAGTAGTGAGCATTAAAAGAAAAAAAGAACCTGTGGAAGGTACGGTACATTTTTTTTCATCCCCCTAAAGTGCTTTACTATTCTCCTAAAACAGTATATAGAAACTGTAATTAGCCAGTCAAAATACATGGAGTCAGGTTACTAATGAAACACCCATTTGGGACTAAATCCCGGTCCTGCTGA